ACCAGCATTACTGGAATATTGCCTAAGTCTAAGACATGGTTAGGAGTAGACCTTCTCCTGCCCAAATTCGGATACCAGCTGTTTTATTTATCATTACCTCTATAAATTGTTGCTCCTCTGTGACACCTCCAAACATAACACACTGATGTATTTAATACGGACACCGCAGCTCGCCTGATTAGCCAACACACTGTGCAGCCTATTAAAAAACTGACCTTCTTTATGAGTTTAAGGTCCAACTGAGAATTACAAGCTCACACTGAGACTGTCATTTTTTTTCTTGTATCCTGAACCTCTGGCGGTATCACTGAAAACCACATTCAAAGAAAACAAGTGTAGGTAGGGGCCAGGAAGATGTGAGCATATATTTTAACAAACCACTGGGAAAGCCTTGTTATAATAAATGTGTCTTGCTTTTAATTTGTGTCTTTATTTTACTGAGCATATAATTTGCCTTGGGGTTTTCCTATGAGACCGCACTATTATGTAGGATACCATGTTAAGCAGCCAGTGCTTAACAGACATCACATCACATTGCTTAAACAAGATTAGTGAACTTTATATGAGTTTTTTTCCGATGTACAGATCATCTGAAACTAACAGGAATGGATTTATTGTCCCTGGGAGGACTTCAGTTTCATGGATTTATGGAGCTCTAGTAAATGGCTTCCCCTTTTGGGAAATGATGAAAACAGTCTTAGTGAGAACATATAACACAGAAAGCTTATTTCTTATGATAGCTAATGAAGCCCTATTACAGTGCAATGTTATTATTGACCTAAATATGCAATACATATCAAGTATTATAAATAAATACACAAATAGACCAGGAAAAGAAAATACTCCTGTGAACATCGATCGTCTTTTTTTAGTCTAGAAAGCATGATTACAGTGCAAAATGGCAGTCACAATAAAATACACACGTACAAAAATTAAGAACAAATCCAAACATTACACTATTTATTAGTCCAGATTCATTAAAAGCTTTCAAAAGGAAATGCTAGATTAAAACAACACAAGCAATATTAATAAATTAAAGGAACAAAGTATCAAATCACACAAGAAGAAATGATGAAGTACAGGAAAAGGATCAATAAATAAAGAGCTCATGGTATATTTCCCTGGAGAACTTAATAGATCAATGGACTAGTGTCGGAACAGAGTTTTGATTAGTTCCTGCATTTCTATCATCCGTCAAAGAGATCCCCCCCCACCCATCATTATGGATTCCACATAAATAGGGCTGCTTCTGGACTTCCTGAAACTCTAAATGGAGACAGCTGCAGTAAGTGCAGCAAGCTCTTTCCTCCTCATCTCAGAGATAAAAGATAATGGGAGTCAAACATAAATAGTGAGTCATGGCTCTGAGATCAAAAAGACAAAGACTCACTGAGAGAATAAAAATCTCCCCATGAGAAGAAATGGAAGAAATATATAAATTCAAGAAGCAAAAAAACTAAAAACCCTGAAATGTTTCTCCTTACCTTTTAACAGCCATAGCAAAAAAACGAAAGGGGACTCGTGGAAGAGGACAAATATGGAATGGTAACCGATATTCTATTCCCTTCTAGCCTGAAGTACAGAAAGAGCTCCCAAAGAAAGACCCTGCTGAATTTCAATATGTAGTTGAAGATAAGGCCTCACAAATTACGTGGCAGTGAAATGTTCTGTGCAACCCCGCCCTCCCCCCCGGACCACACAATTGTGATCTGGAATCTCAATTTTCATAAAAATAGAAAACGCTGAAAACGTGAACTGAATGCAGCCAATGCTGGTTTGTGTCTCAGTTGCGTGCTGGACAGGATTTGAAGATTCTCCAGTGAGAGAGCCCTGGAGACACTGCTCTTAGCCAAGGCAGATGCAGACCTAAGGCTAACCCAGAAGGGGGCTGAGACCTGAACCCAGAGACAGGGATGCAGATACAGGTATTGACAAGGACACCAGGATTGGCCCTGTTGGACTTTTTTTTTATAACCCTGAAAGGGATTTGTTTTGTGAGTTTGACTCTGTAACTTAGCTGGAGAGCTGGGCTACTGACGATTCACCTGACAAGGTTAATCGGTGATCATGGGAACTGGGAGAAGAAAAAGAATTTGTGTGCAGGTTCAGAGGCTCCTGACAAGAGGTGCTCACCAGAGGAGAGTGTCCCCTGTCGCCTGGGCATTGTGCAAACAATTAGAAGGAAATGGCCTTTGCTACAGAGAGTTTCTATTCCAAATGAGGAAGTGAGGCACAGAGATATTAAACTGCTTGACTAAGATAACAAAAAAAAACATTATGGAAGAGCTTGGAATGGAATACAAACAGCCTGAATCCTAGACCAGTGTCTTGAGCACAGACCCATCAATGTACAAGGTGCGAGTCTTGCTAGCTCTATTAGAAAAAATAACAAACTGCCCCTTAACCAGCACTGTCCCATGTGCAGGAACTTCAAACCTGATTGATCATTCCACCCCTTCAAGCCTCACCCTCCTTGTACTGTTCAATGCTCAAATACACACAAATGAAGCAGGAGGAGGGTAAAACAAAAGATCTCCAGCCTGGTGCTTGGGTAACTGACACTCCCAAGAGGCCACAAACAGTTTCTTCTGTGTCAGTCATCCTGTGTAGCTCCAAATATTCCCTCAGAGATTAGCATTGTTGGGAGGCTCTGGGCAGAAGGGACAGACTGTAGCCTGCAGTAATGCAGCATTAGCACTGCATATAGCAGAAAGTAAAATGACTGTCACTCTGTGCCACATCAGGGATAAGACTGAGTCACAAAGGGGCTGGTAGGGAAAATGAGCTTTCATGAGGAATACATAATACTGTGTATTTATGACCCCCATCGATGTGAGACCCTGATCAGCAATTCACATTCAGAGTGGCCCTCACCAATAGAGGTGATGCCTGGGGGGCAGGGGGCGGCATGTGGGGTTAGGTGTCCCCCTCACATTTGTTGCTTGGTGGTCAGGGAGCATACTCAGTAGCATCTGCTGACACCACTGCAGTCATTATGCCTCCCTGTAATTGGCAGATATGGGTTGTGTTTGTCCACCAACAAAGTTGGACTGGCCAGATGGATAGGACATAGCTTTGCCCTAAAGGGTTTGGGAAATTTATTTCCCACAATCCATTTCAATGATACCTTTGCCCAGCTGAGCAAGTCCACTTCCAGATGGGTTGTTGAAAATGAAAATAATTCAAAGCCTGATGAATTTCCCAGCCTAGATCTCTTCCCACACAGGATTTCAGTGCAGTACACACACAATTAATTAATTAAGCCTCATGATAGTCAGCAAGATGCCTGTGGAGTAAGTAAAGGATCTTTTCACTCAGACCTGGCCTGGGATAC